CCAGCAATGGGAGACCCAGTATGAATTACTCATTCCCAAAAAAGCCACGATGGTCACAGAGTACTCCATTAATTTGAGCACAGGGAAACCTGAGTGTCACGTTCCCCTATCAACGAAAAATGCGACAGCTTAGAAACTTGTATTGATTATAGGCCTGAAGTGCTCAGTGGTTAGAGTGCGAATTTACTGACCGGAAGGTCGAAACCGACCTCAGCCTCTCGACTTCCCCTGTCTAGGCTTGGGCAACTTGGCAGTATCCATCGTGCTTCCTTCGGATGGCATAGCAGTTACGCACCGAAAGGGTGTTGCAGCTGGACGATTATCTTGATTATTATCAAGTGCTCACTATTAACTATAATAACCGCGTAGGGACGGAACTGGAACGAATACGAAGGCGTTAGAACGTCCACTTACAATTGACACCGCACATTTCCATTACAACCCCCTTTGAGGAACCATTCGAACCCAGAGAGCACTTCCCTACTCCTCAGGGTGACATAATGACCGAATCGGTCAGGACTACTGGTCCAGGGCTACAGGTTGACTGACACCTGAAGGTCAATGCCACAAGCATTGCTGATGCACAACAGCGATTCCGCAACCTAATCTAGCGTATGTTTTCAGCTATAGTAGTCGGAAATGTGGAGGTCGCACCAGGAATTGAAGGAAATAAACCTAGATTAAGAAGTGCGACAACTAGGTGTCCAGCAAGGTTCCCACGATTGACTTCATCTCCATGTGCTTAGCAGGTGACCTAATTGAGGCGGTGACTTGTAGTGACCCAGAAAAAAGTGGGCAAACGTCCACGATTGACTTCATCTCCATGTGCTTAGTAGATGACCTAATTGAGGCGGTAACTTGTAGTGACCCAGAAAACAAAAGTGGGCAAACGCTGCGCGGGTTTACAAGTCACGGGTTCGTAAACGCACTCGCTCTGTACCACGGCGGGTTTACAAGTCACGGGTTCGTAAACGGAGAACATCTAGCGCACTCGCTCTGTAGCACACAGAACATTCCATCACGCACTGTTTAAAGTGGTTCAGAGCAACGTTCATCAGAACATTCGTTCCAACAGCGCAGGGAAATTACAACACAGTTCCCTCTTTAGAAGAGGAAATAGCCTGTGGGACAGTGACGATAACATCAGAGCGAGCGAACTAATAGCGACTGACCTACAGGCTATTCCCACGCAATCAGGATTTACTTGATGGAAAGGGCTGCACCGAGCAGACCGCCTTTAAGTGCCGTTATGTATCAATAAGTTGGATGGCTCAAGCTCAGTGAACGTAAGGCTGGGAAATGAACCACATCTACAACCAGTAGCAGGTCACAGTGTGGGGGTTTGGGGATCACTAAGACAGAGTCAATGATTCCGATTGCGAAACGCTCCTAACTATTCGTCACCCACAAAGAGGTCTAGTAGACCCCTTCCTGTGCTTAGATATAGGCATTCGAAAATCGGAACTGGTGAGCTTTAAGAACGCCGAGTATGCAAATTGGGCGGCTTGATTATTTCTTGAGTTCGATCTGAATGACGGGATATGATGTTTACTGGGAGAACCCTATGGAGAAATACGGCAGTTGAACTACGAAGCCAGATGACTGTTATAGCACGGGGCGGGCTAAAGCTCAGCAGCAGGTAACCAAGATATCACCGAATAAGAGACGCGGAACAATGGACGCACAACGCAGAAACTAGGCACAGAGACACTTGCTATCAAGGGCTACCAAACAGCCGTACTCGGAGCTCGAGGTAAGTATACTTACAGGAATCTGAGGGCCGTACTGACGTCTGGCGCCCTTCCACGAGCAACACATCAATACTTATTTCGTTGGTGTCAAAACTGAAAACCACCCGAGGAGGCTGACATACGAGGTGACCTGTGCCATCCTCGATACACATAAACAGTTCCCCCTGGGGATATACAGGATACCCGCTCAGAGGCCCTTAATGCATTCCATGGACGATTGCCATGGCTCTGACCAGACTACCAGTTACCGGCAGAATGCGCACCAGTTCCAGATGCGCAACTCTTCCGATGACGTCCTCTTCAGTTATCAGCTATACGTCCCCCGGAGCCGGAATCACCAAGACCTACAGTGTGGTCGTGAAATGAAATCCAAACCGAAATAGCGTGAGCCTCTTAAGGCCATTTCCATCGACATCGTATGGGACCCCGCTACCACAAGTGGAATAAAAATGCGGACTATCCAGGACCAGCAACCTGAAAAACTGAAAATTAGACCCCTTCATGCCACAACTTAAGTCAAACAGCATGAGAACACACCCCGAAATACAAGAATATTCGCACTTCAGTCTGAAAGACACGACTCTAGAGCTCACGATATTTGAAGTGAAATAGCTCTGCTGGGGTACCCTTAGGTATCGAGCTGCAACGCTACCCGAGGGGAACACAAGTGCTAGGATGCTGACAGGCTGCTCAAGCCTAGAGGTGACCAGTCGGGATAGTTGTAGCGCCGATGGATGGTGCGCGGGGGATTCACAACGGTTGAGGGTTGATATCAATTAAGCCACTTGAAGCTGACACAGGCGCCAGGGGCCTAAATCACAACTTCCAGAAAGCCAAAGCACTCAATATGAAAATGACACAAATGCCGCGCGATTCTCCCACAGCTTATAAGGAACAGAAACGGTTCAGTGTGGCCCGAAATACTGCGCTGGTCTGGAGAACGACAGTTCAATAGTGCTGAGTTACGCCAAAAAGGAAGGTCACTCTGTTTCGACATCCCACAGGCTACGCCGGTTCGCCCAATTGCCCCCTCAGCCAACCACGCGTCGAGTAAACTCGTCCCCGAACTCTCGGAAACACGAAAGTATCAATATCGGCTGTTTCCTCAGGACGATACAAATGACGGTTAGTGACGTTGAACACTGGCTCAGTAGACAACGGCGAAGTTACTGACCATAATGATCGCGGTTCGAACTCAAACCCAGCATCTTAAGTGCCTCTACCTAGTAAACAGTACATCATCCGTTGAATTTTTTCAGATGACATGGGGGGCTATACCATAATGATCGCGGTTCGAACTCAAACCCGGCATCTCAAGTGCCTCTACCTAGTAAACAGTACAACACCCGTTGAATTTTTTCGGATGATATGGGGGGCTATGTGACATGGGGGGCTATAAATCCAAAGGACGCTACAGCTGAACATTGGTCTGACACGTGACCGTTGTAAGTCCGATTGCACTCTAGCGTCGGTGTCACATTCACGGCGCCATTCCGAACAATATGGAACAGTCAATGCCGTCAAAATCACCGGCCACTACCTTGTTACACTCTTAGCGAACTGAGCTGCAGTAACTGAGACAACTTAAGTACACGCTTCGCAGTTGAAAAGACCTGCAAAACTTAAACACAAGCCGTTGGGTGAACAGCCCCAATACCTCGCTCGGACGCACCACCGTAGTAGGTCCTCGCAGGCGGCTTTCAAAGGTGAACGGATGGTCAGGTTAGTATAAACCTAGCCGGCAGACAATAGGGACACTAAACGACGTAACGAACATTTCGGGCTCTACAGAGCTCGTCTTCTTCTGGGAAAGGCGTCTGGTGAATGCTGATTTCACTGGGCTATAAACATAGAGCGTCGAGGATGGTCGTCATTCTCGCAGTGTCCGCAAATGTCGAACCCAGTTGGCTCAAGGCAAAAGTAGGGACTTGGTGGAGGTACCTCACACTTGGACCATTTAACGTAAACATCCGACCCAAAATGTAACGACAGGAATTCGTTTCAGAACGGTATCCAGTACACTACATGGACGGAACCAGGACAGACCTGCGGACACACGACTTGGGGAAAGTCAAAGGGTCAGCCTACAACCAGAAAGCACATGTACATCAGCAAGCGCGACTCAGAACGGCTTGAAAGCTTACGCTGGAGCGTCAGGTCAACTTGGCTTTATGAGAGCATCAAAAACCAACGGCAGAATAACGAACCCTGATTTACAGCGTGACCCCGCTCATTTTGCACCTGTCTGCTCCTTGGCGTGCCAGAAGCAGCACGTCGAAATGAGTGGATCCGCACGAACGTTCGAAACCTGTGGCCACCAGAATCAGCGGGATCTCAGTCTACTGCACAACCCCGACTCAGTTAAGTTGACGCAGGCTTCGGCCAGCGACCAGTGAAGTCAGCCTCATGGATGGAGGCAACTCAGATGACAACGAACGAGACACTGCCCTCGCGTGTAACGCAAACAAGCTCCAACGCGGCGCAAACAGGCAAGTCTCCGCGGGACAATCAGCAGGATGCTTACAGACCACCTCCGTTGAGTAAGATAGACGGGCTGAAGTAATCCACACCCGCCAGCTCCGGATGACTTAAGGAAGCGCGATTCGGACACACTGAATCTTGACTGCGTGCGCCCAACCCTGGACAACCTGACAGCTCTAGCAAGGCAGGAACAGGCATTGCACCTGGACGACAGACAATTTACTTGTGGATGGAAGCACGCCATTTGAGACGTTTCACCCGTCTGTTGGCTGACGTCCGAGTGCTGTGGACGTGACACCACCCACATGCATCAACACAACTGAACGTCATCCCGCGTTTAGCGATCGACTTCGCACCTTCCTGGTCGGACCGACCGAAGACGTTGGCTAAATGTTTCCCACCTATCCCAAGCAACCAATACAGCCATTTAGCGCCAGGAAGCAGGGCAAGAACGACCATTACCAACTAGTTCCTCCTGCTAGACCGAGGTAATTGGAGGGCATCAGCATTCACGAACTTCATACTCTCGCGCATATTAGGGCCTTCAACCGGCATTAGTCACCCGACTTATATTGGCAAGGAACACTTGTGTACCATTTAGCTGACCTAATATTAATCGGACCTGGTAGATACACTACAGTGTGCCGACCAGGTAAGTGAGACCTCATGGCAAACGAACAAGCCACTAAGAACATGGAGTGAAACAAGCTCACGAATTATGCATAAACTGCTGCCGCTATCCCAATTGACCTGGAAGAAGAAAGCCATCGTGGACATAGTTTATTGTGACCAAGTCGTACACAATACCTCATCTTACTCCCATAAGCCTGCATGCCCCGTGACGTGCGTAACGGCTCAACGCTTGGCAATCACTATCGGATTGCATCTGCAGAGAGAAGCAAAATTGGTTAGAATATCCAAAAAAGAACCTCATATGCTCCCTGTGGGACATTCGCCTGCTCCAAGCTAGCTGGGTATGCACCGGTGTTGCGTTCGTCTGACAATGCTGCAGAACCTACCCTGCACTCAACTGAAAACAGTAGCTGACTTCAACACTTTTATTTCCTTCAATACTAGTCACAATGCTGAGATAAAAAAGAAGGCTCCGCGCCTTAGTGGTGATACGCGATGAACAGAACACTAGGGAACAATGACGCGCCTCACTTGACAGCAGTACTTGCAAAAAGTAGCCTGATTGCACATGTAGCGCAGTCAACACATAAGGACAATATATATACACGATGAAGTATTGAATCCCTGGCCTCCTCAGCTACGGACAGTTGGCTGGCCTAGAACCTGACGGGCTATACTTCGCTCGGCTACTGGCCTTGCCTACACCAAACTGACGAGGCCAATCTAGTCCTGCAATAAATATGGAAAAGCATTAGGGAAGACAATAGCGATGCCTACGTAAAAACCTACCTTCAGGGTTAACGCCGACCATAGCCACCTATTTCAGGGAAATGATCAAATACGAAATACGAACATACCTCCGTAAGGTGAGCTGCGTGGATAACCTCCTCCAGGGGGTCCGGATCGCATGGGGCCGCCGGCATAGCCTTGTTGGCCCCCGTAGTGCCCGAATCCGTCGCCCATTCCGCCTTGTCCCCAACCACCACCGTGTCCACCCCACTCACCACCATATCCGGACGCGCCGTAGCCACCGCTTGGACCGTACCCCCCTTGCCCATAGCCTCCCACAGGAGTACCTGTTGCGGGCTCCAATGAAGAGATTTCAGACCTACCACCGTATCCACCTCCGTAGCCTTGGTCATAACCGTACGATGCAGGGGCCGGCGGGTATCCGTTACTCCCTCCGTCATACCGGCCGAAACGTTTCCTCCTGGTCTCGTTTATCTGTTCCTTGCTGAGTGCTTTCTTCACGTCAGCACGACTACTTCCGATATGATGCGGTTTGTACAAAATTGCTTTATCCACCGGGTCGTAATCATCGAACGTTACGAATCCGAAGCCACGGGATTCACCAGTTTCTTTCCAAGTGACTATCTCACAGTCTACTATATTCCCGTATTTACTGAAGTAATCTCGGAGTTCATCCTGCGTCACGTCCTTCTTTAGCGCGCCGACAAAAAGCTTCTTTACGGTCATGTGCGACTCCGGAGTCTGCGAATCTTCCCGAGGCATTGCGCGCTTGGCCTCCACAGTCTTACCATCAATCTCATGTGGACGATTCGCTTGAGCAGCGTCAACCATTTCCGGCTCTTTGTAGGTGATGAAGCCGAAGCCCCGCGATCGATGCGAAACACTGTCTTTCATAACGACTACGTCTACAATTTCCCCCCATTGGGAGTAGAAGTCCTTCAGCATTGTTTCCGTGGTCTGCGGAGTAAGACCACCGATGAACAGCTTGCGAAACTGCTCCGTCCTTCTGTCATTGTTCTCGGAATTTCTCCGGACCATAATTCAGGACTGCGGGACGACCGGCGGGAGAAAAGAACCGGATAAAATGACTCCGGAGATTCGTTAATTAAAACAAACTCAAGCCTATGAATCCAATGTGACATGTGACCTGCTAGACAGGTAAGAGTTTTTATAACCAAATATACTTTTCGGTCGACTGATATTTCGGTTTTGCAACAAACATAGTCCATTGATATATTAGGGCGCGTTATATGAATTTGGACCCCAAGCACCGCCGCACAAACGGATCGCTGGATTCAAGGACTCGCTTAGTAACAGGCTTTCGCCAAGGCTTCCCGGGTCGAATTTGCTTTTGTCGTTCAGCGATTTTCATTCGCCTGAAAGGCGAAAGCGCGAAAAAGTGTGCAACACTTCTTGTTCTGTTCTCTGCCCGGGATGGCAGGCTTGCTGATCGAGGCCTGACATGAATAAGTGCCCAAAAGTGCTTTGAACTTAGTACCAGATTCGGCGTTATCAACCGTCGGAGGACGGTTTTTCTTCGATGCCCGGGATGGCAGGCTTGCTGATCGAGGACTGACATGAATAAGTGCCAAAAAGGCTTTGAACTTAGTACCAGATTCAGCATTATCAACCGTTGGAGGACGGTTATTCCCCGCAATAACCAACCGAAGTGAGGGAAATTGTCGATAAATAAAACTGCACTCTGAGTTTGAAAATCTCCTTCCCATGTTCCCACTGCGTGAATTATCTTCTCACGAACCCCTGTTCAAAGAGAGTATAAATAATTATTGGCTCTCCTTGTAGATATTAATAATCCAAGGGAAACCGTCCAAGCACCACGAGACGCACTTCATAATCAACGGATTTAAGGCTCCGCGACATGTTCATAAATTATTTCCTTTTTTTCCTCGTGCATTATCTCGCTGCTTAACCTATATACAGAGTTAACCCGTACCATTTTGTTGAATATTACACTTTAACGTAACCTCTGTGTAAAAACGTTTGTCAACTTGCGCTCATTTTTTGTGGTACACCCAACCATGATAGTGAGCGAGATCAATATAAGTTGCACTCTACGGCCCTCCATGGACCACCGCAGATGCGGGCAAAATGAGCGTCCATAGAAAAGAAGAAGTGGCATGCAATGCCACACCTGCAAGGCTTGATGAAGCTTTAAATGTACTGGTTTACAGAACGACCAGATGGGCCAATTATCTAATTCTGCTGACCCGCCTGTCTGCTCCAGCTGCCTGCACTGTCACGGTGTTACGCATCCCATAACTAAAGAGAAAATTACTCAACCACCACAGACCGCTCAACTAGCCCTCTACAGTGTCGCTTTTTCAAAAATTCACAACTAAATTGTGGGCACTCTGGTAGGAGATCATTTCCGTGAAAAAGCATAATGTAGCTAAGCTCGATTACGCCAGAAAGCCCAGGGTACTGTTTCTTGCCATCGTAGGAGCCTTAGGTGCTATTGTTCCCTTTGGCTGCCTACAGCAACCTCGTGAGAACTACATTTGCGCACCGCCGACTGTTAGGCCTCAGGTATGCGTGAATACCTAACCCAAAGGCAAATGTCGACACATCATGCAAGCCCTTCGGCTGACGTGCCTCCGCCCGAAAATTGCAAAGTCACCGTTTGTGAATTGTTTTTATTTATTGGATGCACGATTACAAACGTAATGGGTAGTCACTTTTGTTTTCATTTTCGGAGGCCGCTTTCACCAGACAGGGCTTCTGAAGGGGAAAAATGTAATGGATTACGTATCGTGCGCACCTTTGGCGAAAGCGTTCAAACGCCTTGATTTTATAAAGTTTGAGGGCCTACTTCCAAATGCTGAATTATTCCAAGCATGGAAAATGAAGAGTCCTTGTCTGCATGAATCTGGTGACGTCCAGATTCGGCGATGCAATAATGGACGCGCGCAAAGTCTGAATTGGAAGTTTGTGTGCACAAGGCAGTCATAACTGAGAAAGTCTTTTATGCCACACAACCCATTAGGCACACGCACACATAATATTGCGGTAATCCTGTGCTTGCCTTGGCAGCCCACACTCCATCATCGTTGAGCCGCGCTTCACACGCATCTCCGTTCTGTTCCCATTGACCCAGTGGCATCTGCACCTCGTTTGCTTCCACCGCGACCTGCCTTTTCCGGCGAATGTTTGTCGTTTCCCTGTTCGAAATGACTGGGCTCTTTAACTAGCCTGGCCTTCAACCGGCTGAATGAAATATCCAGCAGCTGGAGTTCTTTATCAATGCACAAGCCGCAATCAGAGGGCACATTCGTATCAGAGAGTGAATCCGTGACTGCTTAGTCGTATGCCTGCTCGCAGATCTGGTAGCCATCACGAGGGATGAAAACATTGTGTGGTGATCGGTACGTCCCATAGGAAGGGTTGCCCTGCATTGCACTACGATGCGTTCGTACGTCGGCCCCCACCTGTTGCACGGGTGATTTGCCCATCGCCGGTGGCTGTAAGGATGGTCTTTAAATGCAAAATATACATAACAGAGCACTGTTCTTTTTTCCTTGTTGCTCCTGGCCTTGACTCGCCTGGATGTGTCATTCAACTGGCAGCTCTATGAACTATAGACTGTAAAAGCTGACCTTCCGTCTGTTAAAAAAAGAAATTTGCAAAAAAGGCATACTGGGTTTCCTGAATTTACCTCGATGCCCACAATTTACATCGGCGGGCGGAGCTGTGACTGCCTTCACCATCGCCGGGGTTGCAACGCACCAAAGCCCACTTCGTCAACCACTTTGTCTATCAGATACAAACCCAACCATCTTCTGCCCCATTTACTCACTTATTGCCACATTCTGAAAGCAACAGATGTCAAGTTGTTTCTCTATGAACGCACATTACCCGATACGATATCTCCTCAAACTCACCAGGCTTTACTTATCTCACTCCATTCCCTCGTTTTCCCAAGCCTTGCTGTTCGGCTATACCCGGTTTGGACTTCATGCTTGGTCGTTATCCAGTTCACCTGCCTGTGAAATGCATCTACAGAGATCTCCAAACCGGACCGGAAAAATATATGCGATCTCATATGGGCTTGGATCTACCTCTGCGGATTTTCTTGGCCAACCCGGAAAACCCTGTTGATCGAAGAATTGCACGTTCCAGCTGAATGACCGCAAACAGGACTTCCGTTACTAGGTTATCCAACCACCAAAGTGTGTTAAGTTAACAATTGCATGACAGTGCCATATCCAGTTTGATAACTCACCCGCAACTATTCCCCTCCTACCCTTGATTATACGCCCTTGCCCGCTTTTTCAATAAGCGGCAAATACAGATAAACTCTTCACACGGTCCTTACCGCCACCGGGACGCGTTCATTCAAATCTGCGGAATTTTTCATTCGGATTTGACCCTTTCGGTGGACTTTCATCCTGTGCCCCCCCACGAAGCCAGTGATGTTCTGTACAATGCGCTTTCGGCTTGTGTGTTTTCAGCACCTCACTATTCCAAGGAACTCTTACCCCCGACTCCACAATATCGGCAACCCAGTAAGTCTCTGCAGTGTCATTGTACACGATGATTGAGATTTCTACCTCCATTTATCCCGATTGTTAATCCTTTCAGTCCATCATCCCCACTTAGGCTTTTTGCGACCCTGGCCATAAGCTCAACAGTCGGAGGCCACGAAGCCTCAGCGGTGCTTTCAGGCTTTGGTCCAAAGTGGATTGCGCCAACTCTGATGTTCGTCAGATCCGTTGTTCCGATTCCTCATTTTCCGAAATCTGCAGCTTTATTGAAATGTGTCAGACAGGATGCCTCCTGTTTTGCACTTCCTCACTTTGTTTTTGCCCGTCAACTTCAAATTTTACCGTCCATATCGGATAATGCTTACAACTTATGACCTGTCTCTTTTCCGCGAAACCCTTTGTACCCACAAAACTTGCTAGTCATGCTCTTATTCTGTCTTTAACATTACTATCGTACCTGACGGTATATCACTCACCACTTGGGAATGAACAATTATTTATTGTTATACGAGTGGTCGTACTTAGTGGTTTCAACTTGAATTTGGTCTGTGCAATGAACATGCGAATAATTAGCTTACTGTGGAAGAACGAGCGGCCTTTGAACCCAGTGAACATGTGTACCAAGGGTAGCCACCTAGATAGATAGAAAGTACACGTGCAGGTACTGACCGAAATTTAAACAACTTAGGAAAGCCTGGGAACTTTGAAATGAAAACTAACAAGAAATTTCTGGACTTACATCTGTTACTCTAATGGTAGATCGGTTTTGGCGTGACTACCAAAGTGTTCAAAAGCTTGGTTGGCGGCATATATCTTCATGCGGCAACCCACGCAAAGAACATAGATGGCTCCATACCGAGTTTCTCGCCGGTCATAGTGATGAGTTCTGTGCATCTCGTACTCGCGTATGATCCATTCGATGTGCCGGGCGACCTGGGTGGCGTGTTCCAGGTTATTGACGTTGCGTATAACCGGGGCCGCTTCTACGCGGAACTTCAAAAATCTGAGCGAACTCCAAGTGGTTGTTTTGCCGTGAAAATCAGCTTGATCGACCATGTTATCAAAGCATCCCATTCGATGGGATTCGCCTCAGCTACGGTTGAAAACACTTTCGATTATGTTGACAAGTTCGCAATTGAATGCTTGTATTTCTGGATAACTTGACTTGCTTAAAATTAGCGCAGGATTATCTAAAATCTCAACACTCCTATATGAGCTCGAATCTGCGAGATCATTTAATCTTTGACGCAGTGCTGATCATCCATGACATCCTCCAACAGTCTGAACAGCTTGCGCAGGGCGAAAAAAGCATGCCTTCAAATATGCCAGGCAAGTCACCCCATTTTCATGTCACATGTCACGAACAACGTGTAAAGCTGGTATCTGCGCGGCGAACGCCAGACGCCTTAAACAATTGAACCCAAAAAGTTTCGTATCGTGCGTTGTATCAGCGTTAAAAACGTCCGGAAAATGTCAAAATAAAAGTCTTTTGCGAGTTGGAAGATCAAAAACGCCTAAGACGACCAGCGTGTAATT